GCTGCAGCAACTGCATCACACCCCGCCTGCCCCGGCACACACCGACTGTCCCGGGAAACACCAGGGCCTGTTGGCTGCAAAGGTGGGCTGTGGGGAGAAGAAGCTGCTCAACCCATCGCCCGCGCGCCCCGGGGGCGGCAGGAGAGCCCCAGCTGGGTCCCCCAGCCCTCTCTGTGCCAGGGACAGGCTGCTGTGATGCTTTCAGGGTGTTCCACCATTCCTAAAACACACTCACCATTTGAACACCCCTGGGCTCCTCCGCCCAAGCAGACACTGCAGAAAGGCTGGGGACCCCGAGTGCAGCTGCCGGACAGACTCCCGTGCCTGCATGGCCCTTTAGGGATTCACACCGCAGGCAGGGCACAGCCCCGTTCAGCAGCAGGCGCGTGGTCCGGCACGCCGACCTTTCAGCAGAAGGCGGTGGTCCCGGCCCGCCGCCCCTCACCTAGCGATGCCGCCGTAGTCCAGGCCCTCCTCTCCTCGCATGATGATGTACAGGCGGCGCCGCAGGTCATACGGCTTCATGTTCATGATCTGGGGAGAAGCGAGGGAAAGCGTCACCGGCTGGCTGGTGCGAGGGCCGGCTCCACACCTCCCCGGGCTCTGCAGTCCTGGCACCTCCTTACCTGCTGGAAGGAGTCCTCAAAGAGCGTCTGTCGGGAAACGCTGATCTTCACGTGGCTGGGCAACGCATTCGACTACGAGCAAGGCAGAGACGCGAGGCTTTGTGCAGGCTGGCACAGCAGCTCTCCTCGCCCGTGCCTGCCCACGGGGTCAGGCTGTTCACGCACCCATCCAGCCCTGCGGCTCAGCAGCCCCCAAGCTGCCGGGGCCCTCCAGCTGCTCTACTCACGTGGCAGAGGAAGCGGAACTGGTGGTACTTCCAGCGAAAGCTCCGGTCGTACGCCCCTGGGGAGCCGCCCTGCTTGCTCCTGCAAAAGCAGCACGGGCCTTGGTTCAGCATCCCCGCCTGCCCTGGCTCAAGCTGCCCAGCCCCAGCAGCCTCATCGCCTGCCAGGTGGGAGGAAGATCTCTGGGGCGCAGCTCACCTCTGTCAGAGCCAAATGTGAGGCCCTAAACCCACTACTCGGGTCAGCTTTGTTGCAAAGACTCTACTTCCCCCACTCCGTGTCATGACCACGGGAAGGCACGAGCTGCAAACAGGCAGCTCGAGTCCCAGCTCCCAGTGTGCAGCTGGCTGCAGAGCGAGCGGCCCGACCCAAAAATGCTTACCCAGACTCGAATCCAGGGCGCGGGTCCTTGAAGGTGGTGGTGCGAGTGTTGTGGTCCACGAAGTAGCGCACGCCCTCGTTCGTGTACTTCATCTCCCAGCCGGGCGGCAGCGGCGGCTCCTGGATCATGCTGCCGACAAGGAAGGGGTCACCGGGCAGGCACCTCAGGCATCTCTCACCCTGAACTGCAGCCCTCCAAATTGCTGTCCTTAGGGACCACCTTCAGTTTGCAGCTCCGTGCCAGGCAAAAGGAATGATTCATGGTATGGGATTAGCGAGCGCCTGCCTGCACCCCGAGACCGGAGCCCTGCCTGGGCTGCGCTCTCAGCCACGGCCAGGACTAGCCACAGTTACAGCTTCGCTCCGTCTGCGGGGGAGGTAGCCTCAGTAGAGACCCGGGCCAGGTCCTCAGCAAGAGCAGGTCTCTGGAGAACAACAACCCAGAGCTCTCAGGAGCCCAAGCAGAGCCCTGCGGGAAGGCAACAGGGCAAGAAGAAAGCACCTCTTTCTGCCCAGAAAGCCCTGCAGTCTTCCCCATCACTTCCTCATCTCTACCCTCAGCTCCCACGAGTCGAGAGCTGCCCTGCGATGCCAAGGGTTGCAGTATCCAACCCTCCTGGGCTCCAGCACTGCCTGCTCGCCGCCTGCAGTTCTCAGTGCTTTTGGCTCCCCAGCGCTGCAGCCCGCTCGGTCCCCCGGCATGGCCAGCTCTCAGCACTCGGTAGTCCATCGCATGGACCTTCCGAAACCGCAAGCATCCTCCCTGCTCTCCCCGCAGGCTGCCTACCCCTGCGTGCGAGGGTCTTCCCACTGGGTGGTCCGTGTGTTGTGGTTCACGTAATACACTCGCCCATTGTCCTGTCTCTTCTCTAAGAGAAAAAGGAGAGGCAGCATTAGCTGAAGCGCCCTGGCCAGCGCTGACCCACAGTCCCGGGAACAGCCCTCCCCTTCCCGGCTCACAAGAAGTTTGTCGGCTCCCCCTGTCCCACCTCCCCGCTGGCACTGCCCAGGCTCATTTGGAGAAGGCAGGATAAAAAAAACCTACATTTCTTCTACGTGCACAAGCTGCTGCACCTCCAGGGAAGGCCGGCTTTCTCCAGTGCCCCCAAAGCCAGCGCGCGGGGGGGGGGGTGTGTGCCATGGCAGAGGCCAGCCCTGCCAACGCGCTGCCAGGCTGGCACAAGAGGCGTGCTCGGCCACGCACCTTGCTGGGCAGGCAGCACACGCACCCTCCTTGAAGATGCAGCGCTCCGCAAGCCCAGCATCCCTCCAGGCGGACCTGCAGGTGCTTTCGCAAACGCGTCCGAACTCCCTGCGTGGCCCTGCTGCCGGTGCGCAGCTCATGCTCCCAGCGTGCGCTGCACACACATGCACACCCACACCTCCTCCTGTCGCGCACAGGCATAAAACCAGCACACCACTCACACCAGATAATTGAGACTTTCATTGCTCACTAAGCTGTTTCTTGGTTTC